TGTGACAAATTGCCCCAATGAATTAACAGAAGAAGCTCCTACATGAAGAAGAAAGGAACCAGCTGAAGCAACCACATCAGAAATGAATTTTGAAACGGCACGGTGGTGGGAAGAGACGAAGGGATTTTCCCGTACCTGTGCAAGCCCCACAGCAAAGTGGAGCAGCCCTGCCAGCCCTGTACTTGAGGACAGCGAGGTCCCTGCCAGACCCTTGCTTGTCCTGGGGAGCGTGGAACGGAGAGGGGACAGCGGTGACAGGCTGCGGAGCACTGCCCGGCGGGCCGGGGGGCTGTCACAGGGCACAATACCCTGCCAGCAAGGCTGGGACGGCAGCGGGGGGGGGGGATGGGAGCGGGTATGCTTTCTCCACCAAAACCAAAACTGAGTTCCTGGCCTGGCCTTACGGATAATTTTAGTGCAGAGGGTGAAACCCAACCCTCTTTTTCAGCGTGACACAGGCTCTAACGCAGAGCTGGCAACTCAGCTGCTGCTGTTTCAGGAACATTAGAGCTGTTTATCAGCGCTGGGCAAGTGTGGGAAAAACCCCATCAGGGAGCGGGCGAGCCCAGCAGGCTTTCCTTCCCTCTCCTTCTCTTTTGCTCATGAGCCCCTTTGCCTGGCGTCAACAAAGCCCGAGCTGAGCCCAATTAATGGTGACAGCCGGCTGCCGAGCGCATAAGCAGCAACCCCACGCACTGAGCGAGCACGCAGGGGTGCAAAGGGTAAGCCCACACGTATAACACACACACGTACTTTTATTACATGTTGCAAGGCAGAGGCTGGGAACCCTCCGCGACATTCATGCTACTGCAGCAGTGCCTACGGACCTCCATGGACCCCGCTGGCTGAGGCAATGATGCTGGCCCAGAGCTGTCACAGCTGGGAAGATAAAAGCAGGTGAAAAGCATAATTATTGTTCCCACTTTGCAGAGTGGGAAAGGAAGGAGCTGAAAACCTCTTCCCATGGACGGAGTGGTGAGAAAAGTAATTCTTCTGTCCTCTGACACGCTCAGCGTCCGCTCAGAGGCAGCGGGCAGCACCCCTCCTGCAAGGCACATACATCCCCCTAGCTAAACAGGCAGGTCACCAGTCAGTCAGTCGTGCCTGCAAAATGTGCACTGCCGGGCGATCTGTGCTTACTTTGAACAAAACATCATACTGTAACTGCGCGCATAGTGTCATTCAGTACGCAGTTTCAGGCTCTGTGCTGAAACAGCCATATCAAACCACATGGATCTTTTCCCTGAAGCATGTTAAACCACTATGCACTCAAAGTAATGTATGGAAATTTACCCTAGCAGCTTCATAGCAGCATCTCATCATTCTTATCCTTCATACCTGTCACTGTTCTCTGAGACTACTCATTGGATCATAAGCTTTTCCCCCTCTCCCCTTACAAAGCGGTAAATGTTCAGAAGTGTTTAAAGAGCCTTCCAAGCTTGCTTCATTTGTTCCTATGCCTAAGTGCAGACGTGACTATCAAATCTTGCTGTTCCCAAGTCCATGCCATACATGCAGCCTCCTGGAAAGGTAGCCGAGGGAGATCTCGAGATCTTTACAGTCAGGGACCTCTGTCTTTTTGCGTAGGTGCTCTTTTGAAGTCTTTATTCTTCATGGCTAGGGAGCAGGCAACTAGCTGATGACATCCTGACGTGCCTTCCGGTCATGTGGGAACATCCTTGCAGCTTGTTTCCAAGCACCAGTTTGCGGCCGAGGATGGAGCAGATGTAGGATGTGAGGCAGCAGCCGCACCGAGACCTCTCATCAGTTGGGATTTCAGGGCACCGGCAACCGCACCTGAGCCAACGCTGCTCCCACCGTCGGTCACCTGCATGTAGTCCAGCATATGTTGTTCACACCTGGTTATGGCTGGCACCACTCCTGCATTTGAGACAAGACTGCTGGCAAAATTACAGAGCTCGGGTACAGATCAGATCCATCAGGTATTTAAGGGCTGAACTCCTACTGATGTAAATGCAAGCAGGGGTTGTAAACACCGTTTTGGAAGTGGACTCTACTGACATTAGTAAGGGTGGTGGGAAAAGAGATGCAAGGTTGCAAGGAGCAAGTGTGAGCGCTAGAATGATATTAACTTCAAGGTAGAAAACACACTCATTTTGTTAGAGTGTCCCAAAACAAGAACACTGTATTGTTTAGAGATTTCTTGATTAAAATTTACTTTGACTATGGATTATTGTATTCTACATTCTTCATGAAAGCCGGCATGCCATGGTAAATGGCAGCACTTCCATGGTGTGCAGCATGGCCTGAGGCAGCAAAATCTGGCCCTAATACTAGAGTTAAGCAAACCGTTAAAATAGGAACCGAACCAAATGCCCAGATCTCCTCCCCAAACTCGAACTAAACCTGTTTTGAGGTTCAGGAATGTTTGGTTAACTTTAAATAAAACAATGTTGTGTTTCTACACATCCTGCTTTCAGTGAAGCCTCCAAGCAGAAACACAAAAACATGGCAAGCCGATCTATGTTTGCACTATTTCTGGCCCAGCTGAAACCAGGAGGCACTGGAAATCTCACAAGCACAGCTTTGTCTCAGGCTATCCAGCTCCCAGGTTCTGTCACTGTTACCCAACGGAATACAATCTAACTCATGTACATACCAATTTGTTATTAATTTTCCACCAGATAATTGTGATTGATAAACAAATTCCCCAGACTATCAGACATACGAAAACCCCATTTTTACTTTACTGTGGCAGCACACTATATGGCTACTTTAAAGTCCTTTTATGCTGATCGGCCTTGTTGCGTAAAGACAAAATGTCTCTCGTGGTATACGACAACAAACCACCGCAAACGATAACAAAGATAACAGAGCAGGCACACAGGTTTTGTGCTTCACATTTGATTCACAGCTAATAAAAAACACGCAAACCAAAAATTTGTTGCTTGACATCTCTTTGATGACTCTCTTTATTGAATTTGCAGACCGTAAATATGAAGACAACAGCATTGTTTTAGAGGTACATATTTAGCCATACAAAATTGCCCTGTATGTCACGGCAACATTTTTAAAGCACTTCTTTGTACCAGGCTTTTGCAAATTCATATTTAAAGGAACATTTAATGTTATTGCTAGAAATTATATCACTGTCAGCAAAACATAATACAAACACCCTGATTACTCAGCTATCTGCTCTACCACAACAAAGTCACCCCAAACGATACAGTACCACAGCTTCATGTTTGCTAGCCAGATTTATCATACTTTCCAGATTCCGACAAGACACAGATATTAAGAAATGCGTGTTAATCATTGCCCTAATGAGAACAATATGAAGCTAGCATTTAGGTTGTCACAAAAAAATACAGAAGGCGAGTACAGACTCGATGCACTCTAAATTCAGGGAAACCCAATCCTTCTTTCCACTAGCATGTTCCAGAGAAATGGTCATGTCCGAGTGAAAATTTTTAATGAACTACCTAAATTTTAGCAGCCATGTGTATACGCTTTCATTAGGCACAAGGCAAAGTAAAATGTCATTCTGACCACAAATGTGAAAGTAAAATAACCACTGTACTACTTGTTTACGTACAAATAGCTATGAGCTTATAAAGCAGTGAAAGCCTGCCCAGCATCTCTCCTCCAGAAATGGCGCAAGCTTTCGTTTTTCTGTCAGATATGGTACTATTGGCCAATAAATTATGTATCCTACTTACGCAGGACTTCCTAGCACTGTCAAACTGGATCATTTCTCTTCACTAAAAGTTGTCCTGAAAAAGAAATCTGTTTGTGGGGGAAGAGTCCAGCAGTCACTGAGGAAGAAACAGAACTTGATAACTCTGCCCCAAACCACACCAAACTTCCCTGTGCTGCCCTGTGTTCAGCCAGACAACTTCCAGAGGAAACTACGACCCAACACACCTCAGAGGACAAGAATCTGGCTTTAAACATATTTGCAAATAATACATAAAATGCACACCTAGACTTACAAAGTAAATAAATAAATTTCATTTGGTACAAGTGCAAAACCCATCACCATCCCACACTTCCGAGGGCCTGAAGGTCCATGAAGATTTGGTTTGAATTTTCTAAAGCAAAATACATGCACTTCCCATGCTTGTTTTGGTTAGTTCTTTATTTCCCTTAAGGAAACTTTCACTTGCCCACCAGAAAAGAATGTGGAGATGATGAGGTTTGAAATGCTGGCTGAACAGCAAATAAGACAGGCATCAGTGGAGTGGGTGCAAAAGCAAGCAAGATTGTCATTTCTGCTCAGATTGCAGCACCTTGCAGTCACACCAGGCAGAAGACGTCTACGACCTCTCCATCTGCCTCCCATTCCTCCTCCTACCTCCCCACATCGGTCACACAGCTCTGTCTTTCACTCTATCCGGACCACCAGAACTGTGTGAATACTGATTTAGCCTTTACTAATTATGCACTAAGAACGGCTTTTTTTCACTTCTACCTGGAAAAATAAAGGTGTTAAAAAACTTTCAGAGCTTTAGAAAATAGTTACAAAATGCTAAAGCCATTTAGAGTGCAGTACCTCTTAATCCCTTTGCATAGGTTAAAACTAGTATTGCCTTGAAAAGTGGGTGCTAAAGTCTCATCACACCCTACTCGAACACTTGACTAAAAGTGCACTAAATGCAAGAAAACTTTGGCTTACTTTTCTGAAGGTGTCCCTCTCCCTCCTTCCACGCCACTCTCCCAAGAAACAGAAAAGTATTTTTTGCAAGTCAGCTAGCATTACATGAACAGAGCTATTCCAGTTTCTTTTCCGAAACAAAAAAAAAACAGCTCAAACATTAGACTACCGCCTTCCTGCAGGGCAGAAAGAAAAAAACCACAAAGCAAAACAAAACCAAGAGAATGAATTTCCATACTTCTGATGCACATTGTTTACAATGGGGTATTTTTTGGTTAAGGATGAGGTCTTACCCAGGACATATTTCCCCTTCCCTCAAGTCCCCAGAAGTAACAACAACAACAACAAAATCTAGCTTTTCCTTCTAGATGTTACCATTATTGCAGTCTGTTTATATTTAGTCTTGAAAAAATAAATAATGAAACCTTTGCAAAAGGAAAATCAGCCACAGCTTAAATAAATAGCATCTAATAAATATTATCTTCGTGGTAACTATATAACACTGCAAGTGCATCACTGAACAAATTAATGTGATGAAAGAGATCTTTCGTGTTACATATTTTACTCAATTAAATGTTTATGTTCCCTTTCAAGTGAAAACTTACAATTCCCAAAAGAGCAACATTAAGCTTAAAAAATCAGGTTAGACGTCAGCAGCTGACTATTAATAACCATCCTCTTGGCTAATATTTGCTTGCCCGGGGCAGCCAGTGTCCCTGATCAGCAATCATCTTTCATCTTCCTCAGCTGGGCTGTCTGGCAGGTGCTGGGTGGGGTGAACACCGAGGGGTCAGCAATGCCCAGCTGCAGATCAAAAAAGCGAGTGGAGGTTGTCACGCTGTAGTTCCTTGTATAGGTTTCCTGTACTGGGTAACAGTCTTTGACTGTGTAAATGCCGACCCAGGATTCCACTGTAACCAAGCAGAAATGTGACTACTTTAGATGACAAGAACGAATGAATGTGTCACAACAATGTCAGTCAAAAACCCGGCCATTCCTCAAGCAAAGCCTATAGGCTGGAACTGCCCATAGTTCTGTCCATACGCATGGAAACACCAAGAGAGGCCACACAACTGGTACGATGTGGACACTGTCATGATCTTAAACCTGAACATGTTGGTGCCAGGCACATTTCAAATCACCATACCGTCATGGCATCGGCATGCCACCCTTAAGTGTACCTCTACCAAAGGATCACTGCTTCTGCTTTGTTCTAGATTTAGTTGTGTTTGGCACAGGTCTGACTTCTCTCATCTTTTGTGCCACCTTCATGTCAGCACTTACCGACTTTACCAGTAAAGCACTGAAATGGTCTTTTTTTCCTAGAAAGCAAATTTTGGCGCCATCAGCTTGGGCAGCATGGTGACATTTCACCTTGCACTCTGTTCTTGACAAGCTGAAAGACGCGATTAAGGAAAACCTGTGGTCCATTTCACAGTGTTGACACTCAACACAGCCTCTGACACTCTAACACACTTAGTCCCCACAACTATGTGGGACATCTGATTCCTTCCCGTGCACAGAGGTTCTGCACTCACCTCCTCAAGGAAGCACTCGTCCTCTGCTGTGCTGGGGACACCTCTGCACCAGAACTGACAGCCATAGTATTTTGTTTTTGGTCTTCTATAATCTGAACTGTCATTCTTACACTGATGATACTCGCTGCATCTTTAATCCAGATAAACATGACCTTGGTCTTTTTCCATCTTACTGTCTCAAGCACGGAGGGTTTGTCTCATTAGAAGAGGAACATTTCCAAATACAACTCCAGTGTCTCCACCTCTTAACTCTTCCTTTCTGTTTACCATCATCTATTCATATCCTCAGTCCCATGCTGATTTTTTTAAGTCCTATTCCTCTCAATTCAGTTCATTAATTATTTCACGACTACACTTAATGCTGATCTCCTCCACCTATGTGAAGTGGCAAGTCTGTCCGTTTGATTAACTTCAGTTTCATTCCACAATGTGCTTATCTCAGAGATGTTCCTTCACTCTCTTTCCCCCTCATCCTCTGCCATCACCTCTACTTTCACCACTATGCTATTTCTGTAGCCACTACCATTGAGGTGGTTTCCTTTGAATACCCTTCACTTACAAATCTCTTTTATTAACCCCATGCACCTCTTTTGTGATCTGTCTTTACCCCTTCCATCATACACCACTTCACCCAGTTGTTTCATCTACTTCAGATCTCTTGATAGCAGAAACTCATGAGGTTAAAACACGAAATTACCTACTGTGATCATAAATCAGTTCCTCTGAGGGATGCCTGCAACAAACTTTTCCAGTCCCAAGGAGGCTTATTTTCTCTCACTCAGCAGCAATCAAATCTACTTACCTTCTGTCCTTCCAGCATCATGTCATATGCTGTACCACAATCACATTACCAGAAATAGATAAGCTGTGACATCAAAAATACACAGCATCTAAAGAAAGGGTGGCCAGCTGAGCAATATTTGAACATACATCTCCAGGGCACCCTAATATACCAAACACATTCTGACCTCAATGAGCTTCATTTTGAGTATCCAGAAAAGGAAGATTCTTTTCCTCGATAAGACTTCTATCAGAATTTTGAATAAAAGTTAAGGTAAAATATGATACTACCAAGGTAGCCTAGATCTCCACTGAAAACTTTATAATTTTAACAGAAATATAATTTCTAGAATCTAAGCCAATATTAGCTGAATTGTGGATGGGTAGACAACTTTAGGACATTACTTTTATGAATGATCATACAGAAAAGTACTGGAGATACAAAATACTGCAGGATAAAAAATCACACATCATTAACTGAACATATCTGGATATTAAGTTCCATAAAAGTTCCCAAAATATTGGATCTGAAAAACAAAATTCTTGAAGTGCTAATTTGCCTCTTGTAGAATATTAAAGGATATATTGACCTAGTTACAGAGGTCTAACGATCTTATCCTTCATCCTCTACTTCATTCTTTCTACTTTTATTCAAGAAAGAAATATTTCCCCCTGGCTAAACGCTCAGGTTCATAACCAGCCTATATATTAGGTGTCTATAACCATAAGTGTTGCATTAGCTGGATAGTGCCACAAATTTCACGGGGGATTTGAAATTATTTTTATAGTTGTCTGGGTCATCAGTAAACCATAAATGATATTGAAGCCAATGTGCTAATAAATTGCTATACGTCCGAAACCTAATATGCTGGACCTTGGAAAATTCAGCCTACTTTCTTTTATGATGCAGGTGTTCAGCTGCCAAGTGCAGAACTAAGCTTTGTGAGCAGATGTTTCTTGCCAGTGTAGCTGAAAACAAAAATTAGGTGCATATTAAGAATGTCCATTGCTGCAGAACCATGTATCGGATCTATTCTATGATAACATTTGATAGTAGTATGTAGACACAAACCAAAACCTACTTCATCTTAATTATGCACACTCTAGTTTGAGTGTACCCCTAATTATACTACCAGTTCCTCTCTATGTAAATTTTGGCTTCAGGCTGCTGGATTCAGATGCAAAATGATGCTGTTCCATGCCAAAACCTGTATGATAGGAACTAAAATACAATCCACTCCCTTGGATATATTTGATCCTGCTGAGATAGGAAACATTTTCTTAATAAAATGCATTGATAATAAAATTATATGCTGTACACAGGGTATATTTATTACGTCTTCCAGCAAACTCTATAGATAGATGGAAAGCTGGGGTGAGACATGAATAATTTTATTTTTCCCTGGGCAGCAGAGACAATGATGATTATTAAGATGAAACAAAAGCATGCACATACATTTCCTGGCTGGTTTTCTGTCAGACCATTCCTGTACCATAATTTTGTCTCCAGGTCCCCCAATGTAGTACTGATCTTCATAAGTTGAATTGGCAGGAATGTCATATGGATCCCATGGCTCTGTCAGAGCGATCTTCGAGCAAAGCTTTGTAACTTGTTCAATCTGAAACATCACTGCATCGTTGTAGAGCAGTATATACTCAAAGAATCTGAAACATAAAAAAAAAAAAAGTTAATGTATATATTCTTTTTCTATTCTAAGCAAGGAGCATTGCTGACAAGTAAGCTTGCCTTTGCCTTCTCAGTATAAGACCATTTTCATTTGCATTAAACTTTGCCAAAATTCGAGAAAGGCTAACCAGTTGGGCTGAAATTTCCCATGCTGAAAGTTTGTCTCAGCTGACTCTTTCCAAAGTAAATAAATCAGGCTGAACTGGTTCAGCCATTTCTGAGAACAACAGAACAACTTTTCTGAGAACAACTGAGAGAAAAACATGTTATTAATCCTAGTTTTGTTTTTTAATAACTGTTTCATTAAAAAGCTCTAGTGCCTCCATGTTTTGGAGAAAGGACTTGAAATTTGGCAGGGGAAAAGTTTGTATTAAAAATTGCCCAGATTTGGCTCAGTTATAAGCCTTTGAAAAATTCTGCTTGCATAGGCTGGATAGATTCAGTTCCCCATGAATGTGGTAGAGCCTTTCTCTGTGCTGGTGAGATGTGCTATCTGCCATCCTCACAGGTGCTACTCCATGGAAACCCCTGTAGCTTAGTGGGACATGCTGGTGAAGGGGGAAGTACGTGGTCCCAAGTGCAGAACTGAGACTCTCCCTCCTAATGGCAAAGTTTCTCTCCAGAAGCCACCAGACTCAAGTAGCAAAAGAAAAAAGCAGAGGAGCAAAATAGTAAGGCAGAAATAAATAGAGGTGTGGAGATCTGGCTTGAGAGGCCAGAAGATGAGGTCAACAAAATGGACAGTTAATAAGGAATTAAAAATAACCTTCTATAGAGCACGAAGTGACCAAACCCTACTCTGAGGAGAGATGATAAACCTCTTCATGGACATTTTCATCTAGTTACTAGTTATAGTAGTTGAGTCTACCTCAAACACTGCGACTTTGCTTCCATACCTACAAAAAGGAGGTGGTATCATCCTTATCTTATGTATCAGGTGATTTTGAATACACAGCCAGAAACACCAGAAGCCTAACCTCTCCAGGGTACTTAGCATTATCAATCAGATGATGAGTTGTTCAAAGCACAACTCAAAGCATCCTCACGCGTGCTCTGCACCTTTTGCAAAGGAGAGCCAGGACCCCCAAAACTGTGCACTCATTATTAGAGGTTTCCTGTGAGTATCTCAGCTCATGTATTTGGCTACAGCCTACCGTCGTGCAGTGACTCTAGAGAAAAGGAAGGGATGGTACTAACTCCCTGGAACAGCTTCACCTTCCCTATCTGCAATAGTGTCTCTTTCCATTTGTAATTCCTTGCCTCATTCATGATGCTGCCTCCATTTCCTGCAAAAACATGCCTTTGGACAGTGGCATCTTCCACTTCACAAATCTGATGCTAGCCCCTAACAGTACTCACCCTGCGCCATCAGCAAGATGGGAAAACATTGCATAACCCATGTAATTGAAGAGATGATGCAGAGAAGCAAGAGGGGACATTCTCTGTGGCATTTGCTAACTTCTGCATGTTTCTCTTCGCAGTCTTTTGGGGAGGATATAAAGTTTACATGAAATAGAGCTGGCAACAAAACAATTTACAGTTTTAATTGTTGCACTACACAGCTGCATCAGCCAGGAATCACTTCACCCGGCACTGACACAGAGACATTTAAAGGTTGCGCTATGCAAAGTGTCTAACCATGGTCAAAAGCATCTGAGCAACATTCCCACCACTTCTTGAGAGGATCATTTATCCAGCATGTGTGGACACATAGGCAGGCTAAATGGCATTAGCCAAACTGAGCAGTGACGCAGAATGTAGAAGGGGACAAGGAGGGTGACACGAGGCAAGCTGGGGCATTCCTCTCACGCACAACCTTGCACAGCATGGGAGGTAGCTTGCCCAGTCTGTCACTGGGAACTTCCCACACATTGAGACTCAAACAGCGGGGCTGACAAGCTGCAAGACTATACATTAGCTTCCCCATGGTAAATCATTCTCTGGCCCATATCTTAAAACATTCCTGCTTCTGTGATGACTTGTACCAACCTAAACTTGCCTGCCATTTTCTTAGTCAAAGGCAATGTCTCCACAGTTGTGATACGCTACTGAAGAATTCAGTATATATAAACTGGTTCCTTATATAAACTCCAGCCTGTGACCACGTAAGGACATGCGTAACTTTTGAATCACATTCAGTCCAGAGAACATACTCAGAAGAACACTAAAATACACTTGGTTACGTGTTTGCAACCCGGCTCTAATGACCTAACTACTGTTCGGCTGGCTGTCCAGCAGCTCCCATCAAAGTGGGATGGGCAATGCCTTACAGATGAGTCTATCAATGTATTTGCGATATTTGAGTGATAATACAGTCATTTTATGAAAGAACAAAAAAGCGATATATTAGTGAAGCATTACAAACTACTGGGAACAAAATTTAAACAATTACATTTCTATTTTAATTCTTTACTTAAAACTTACTTTGCACAGAAATTTTACTTGCATTTTAAACATTTTTTCCCATTTTGTTTTTCCTTATCCTTTGCTTTATAAATTCTTTCCTGGAATAAATATCTTTTACTCTAAGTTTTCTAACCTGTGAATTGATATCATTGCATGAGGGACAGGTGCCACCTTTCCTCAGGTGAGACAGTAGTTCAAACCTCAATCTGACAAATGCATGGACAGCCATTGCAGCTTCAACAGATGGCCTAAATATTTGCAGAAGGAGGGCCACAACCCAAAAAAGCCTACTTTCTTGTCTTTGCCATCTTCCATGCAGACAGCACGATGTGCATTATGAAGCAACGAGAAGAAGAATTAGAAAAATCCAAACAAATCGAACTTATCACAAAGAGTCTCTTTAACACCCTCTCTGCAGAGCAAGAGGCTCCACTACCTACATTTTTGCTCCTGGGAGAGGCAGAGCGAACGTATGTGGAACAGACACCGGTCACACAATTTGATGCGCTGCTGGGATAAACTCTGCAGCTATGGTGGCAGGCACACAACACAAAGACCGCAGAGAGCGTGGCTCTACTCGCTGTCCATGGCAGCCCTGGGTAAGCAGTGAACATGATTTACACTGTCATTATTCAACCCGTATGTACCTCACATCCAAGTTTTAAAGACAATTGCTCCTCTGTGCGACCTGGAAATAGCAAGCACAGAAACCTAAGATTACACAGGACCTCAGTTTAGCTGCATATGAAAGGTGAATGGTTAAGCTGTTGTTTTATAAAGAGAACTATTTACCAGCCAAAATTAATAACAAAATGTGCATGAATATAAAAATGACAATCCAGCATATTTTAAAGCAAAATATTTAAAAGTAATTTCCGCTTTTTTTTTTTACCAGCCAAGTCCTAAGCATAATGCCTCTATTTGTTTTAGGTGCCTGAGATTTCATTGGCTGCTTGCGGGGAAGTACAAGAGTCCTGAAAATAGGTCTTGGCAAAGAAACAGCAGAGGAAATGAATTTTAATTAGTTTGTTTTTTCAGAAGAAGTAACATATTTGCAGCCTGTGCCCACCTCTAATACTATTTTTCTAATAATTTCAATCCTTAAACTGTAACTTCAGGAAAGCCCCAACCTGTTCATTGGGCACCTTCAAACAGATTTGGAGAAGTTACTTGGACAAGTTAACCTATTTGCCTGACCAAGATTATTTCCCTTTCTTTCCTATCCTATTCCATCTTACCCTGTCCTATTCCTCACACCTTTTGTATGCTACGACCTTAACAGGACTCTCTCATGGTCCTTAACACTCCCTTCGTCTGTGCCTGAAAATGGATAAATTCCAGCATATTAAGACACACACATGTTTTTTACTCCTATGTTTTAAAGAATTTCTTAACACTGGACCATATCCTGCGCAAATAATTCCACTGACTTTGCTGGAAGTAATCATGTCAGACAGGCGGGATGCACATTGAGTTCAGTGCTCTCTTCTCCCCAGCTAAGAAAGTATTTTTCTGAGTAAGAGACCAACTGAATTCAATGCAAGGGCAGAATACCATGTCCACACAATCACGAGGCGAAACACTTGTGTCAAGGACATACTGTGAGGAGTGGGTGTGCATCCAAATACCGTCCTACCTCTGAGATTCCTCCTGAAGCTTGGGGAGATAGTTAGAGGTGCCTCCCAGAAGACAGCCCAGATAACACAGAGACACGCTCTTGGACCCTCATAAATGACTGAAGCCAATAAACTTATCTAGTGACTTGTCTTTTGAATGGATTATTGTTCTGCATGTTATTAATGCAATTCAAAACAACGAATTATTTTTTAGTGTTTGCCAGAAAAAAAAGTCATTAGACTCAAGGCCATGCTACCAGCTGTTTCAGTTCCTCAGCCTGCACCGAGTCCTGCTGAAAAGGGCCCTATGCTGAGGTCCTTCCCAGCTGTCAGTCCTGAAGGGTGCTAGCCTGTATGTCACCTAACACATCCGCGTGACTCCCCGCATTTACTTTGGCACTTCCAAAGGTTTCCTCACGAGCGTCAAACCTAGAAGGAAGGAGCTGCTTGCTGTCCAGTTGCCTTCGCAGAGGAGCAGAGGTGCTGGCAGGAGCATGCCAACACCCACACGATGTATTGAAGAACATCAGACAAGGTGATTTGCTAGCAAGAAGCAGAATAGTGGTCTGAGACTGAGACTGGGTAAAAGAAATTCCTTGTGTGCTAAATCTGGCTTTGCATCATTTCATTCCTTGGCTCTGGCTCTGGACAAGTAACTTACAGTACTGGAGCCTTAACATCCCATTCTGTTATTCATTTTTTGATTGCTGTAGCACTGAAGAGCCAGCAAGCAGGGATCAAGAACCAGTTGTGTGAGGCATTGTATTAACAAAGAACAAAACCGCACCTCCTGCCCCCAAAAAACAATGGAACGATGGTGGTTGTAAAACAGGCTTTCCTCTCCTGCAAAGACATACGGGGTTTCGTGCATCCAGGGCTTTCACCTGTTCATTCAGTTCCCCAGCTGCAGCTGTTGTATCCTTAAAACTCCCACTCACGTTTCCCAGGACTTATAT